ATTTACAACAAATAATGTACAAACATTTAATCGACGAATAGAGCCCACTCGCAGGTCGAGCCCCCACTTCGCATAAAATTACATAAAAATAGGCTAATGCCTAAACATAACGAGGTGCTCGGAATTCCAAGTCCCCTCGATCACCCGACCGGTCGTCGTCTCCAGTCGATATGTCCCCGGCCGTACTACAGCGCTGATGATGTACGGCCCTTCCCAATTTTGAGCTAGCTTCCCCCCTTCCAAAGGTTGACTGGCTTCCCGTCGGCGTAAGACGTAATCTCCGACCTGAAAATACCGAGGGTTGACCCGGACATCCTTTGAACTCTTAACTCTCTTCTGATACTCAGCCATACGCCGAGCGGCTAGCTCTCTCTTCTCCTCGACCCCGTCGAGATCCACGACCATCGAATGTTCATTCTCCTCCGCGTTGTAAGTCCGTTCTCGAGCGGTCGGGATCCATGCCTCGATCGGGAGTCGGGCTTCAGCCCCATAGACTAGGGCAAACGGCGTCTCTAAAGTTGCTTCTCTCGGGATCGTCCGATAAGTCCACAGAACGTAGGGCAACTCATCGGCCCAACTACGACCAGCCGAGTGTAGCTTCTTCTTCAGACCTTCTAAGATCGTCCGATTGGCGTTTTCAACCTGTCCATTTCCATGCGGGTAAGCCACCAATGACCGGATATGGGTTGTCCCGATCGTGGCAAGAAAGTTCTGGAAGTACTGGCTTACGAATTGGCGGACGTTGTCGCTGATGAGATGCACAGGTATACCAAAGCGGGAAATGACATTACGCCACAAAAATTGAGCACACTGCTGAGAGGCGATCGTGGCTAACGGCTCGGCCTCAATCCACTTGGAGAAGTTGTAAACACAAAAAAGTAAACTTTGTATATATTCCACAAATCTATTTACAGCGTGTGTATAATTCAATGCAGGTACAAAATCTCTGTCTAGTCCTCTGATTCTTCACTGACGTTATCTATGGAAGTGCCTCCGGGATTCAAGTAGCGTAGCCTCCGGGATTCAATTGGCGCGTGCCTCCGGGATTCAATTGGCGCGTGCCTCCGAGATTCAAGTGGCGTAGCTTCCGGGATTTAAGTGGCGTAACTTCCAACAACGAGCGTCAAGAATTTAGAAGTAATCAACCCTGCAAAGTTTCAAAACACATGTAATGGATTCAAGCTGCTTTAAGATCCTCAAATGCCTTCAAAAGACTTCAATATCTTCGAGACAATCAATTCTGCAAAGCTCCAAAGTACCTGCAATGGATTCAAATTGCCTGCAAAATCAACAAAAATGCCTTCAACTTCAAGCATTCTTCAATGCCTTCAGGCTCTTCAGATGCTCTCAACTCCTTAAGTCTTCAAGTTGTTCAATGCCTTCAAGCTCTAAGCCTTCAAGTTCTTCAAGCTTTCAAGTGTGTTTTGGAATGAAAATGAAGGCCCTATTTATACTAAAAGCTTAACCAAAATTCCTCAACCAACCCCCCTTTTTAGTTAACTACTTAATTAATTAATTAATTTGGAAAATGAACCTTGTCCAAGATCAAGTCCAGGTTCATTATTGTATAATCTAATTCAAATTCAAATTAAATTATAATTATCTAATTCAAATATAATAAAATTAATATTATATTTAAATTATAATTATAATTTAAATTCAAATATGAAGTGGGTTTGGACCAACTAATCAATTAATTCAATGGCCCAAACCAAATTTTATTGGACTCATTAAATTAATTTAATTATTATGGCCCAATTAATTAAATTGGTCCAATAATCAATCTCAACGTTGGTCCAATAACAAATTTGTCGTCCATTTATCGGGTTCAAATTTTCTGTGTCTACAAATTGCCCCCTCGAAACTTGCCGGGACATGCTACTTGATGTACTTGGAGTGAGAAAGTCTCGATATTTAACAAATGATCCATTATAGTGCTTCTAAACTCCATGAGCCTAAATGCATGCCTGGATATTTCACGATCCAAAATTAAATAATCCAATTGGTGTAGTGCGTTCTGTGAGCCCAGCTATAAACTTGAACATTTCATGAGCCCTAGTCAAATATTCCAATTGGTGAGCCCAAGCCATCTGATCTTCTAAGCCTTCTCAAATAATCACTAGGAATGATTAATGATCCTAGTCAATACTTCACCAAGATACGCCTGTGCGTGAGTCCTACCTCTAACCAAGCTCACTGTAACCATTTCACATTTTCACCCAAGATTCCAGCGGCATAACCGATTCCACCAGAAATTTCATCTCAATCTCATTAGATTGTAGAGTCCAAATCCAGCCACAACTCTTCACCGGGCACTATAAATACCTACCTCAACTCACCAATCCCTACAAACACAAAGGGAAACTGAAGAAGAGACGAGGAGCTAATCACTCGAACTCTGCCACTCAATAAGGTATATTCTCCTCTTCTCCTTTATATATACTATCTCCTATACGCAGAAGCGATGATACATACCACCTTTGAACTGCCACCGTGGAACGAGAGGCTCACCATCCCGTGGAACAACCACCAAGTGCGGAACTTTTGCCTTGACGCGAGCGTGAGTTCCCACCATGGATACAGCCGAGCATAACTTGAGGACATCGCGGGTTTACTAGAGCTACTAGAGTTCTCCGCTGGAGGCCGCCGATTTTTTTTTTTCAAATGCCGCAGGAGGTTCGTTGCCGGAGTTTGCCCCTCGGAGCTTCACAGGAGTCGCCGGAGAGTTTTTATGTTCTTTTTTTTCACTGTCGTAGGAGGTTCACTGCTACGCTTGCCAGAGTTGATGAAGACCGCCAGACTGCGTCTTCCTCCTCTCCGTCAACGTTACTGGAGACAGAGTGAAGCTAGTCACCGGAAGCTTGTTTTTTTTTTTGTTTTTTTTTTTTCACGCCACTGGACCCTGATGCTGCGAGACCAGGAATCTGCTACTGCCGGATGCTGATCGTCGCCGCTGCCGGAGTTGCCGAAAGATCACGTCTCAGAAGCTTTGTTTCCTCACCGTTTTCCGTCGCTGCTTTTGCCTGGATTTTTTGGCGGAAGTTGCCGCAGACCGCCGGAGACCGCCTCTACTGGAGGTTATCGCCAAAGCCCAGAGGTTGGTGGAGCCTATCCTCTTTGTCAATGGGACCACCGGAGTTCCTCCCTGTCGGAGATCGATGCTCGACCCAAGAAGTAAGCTAAGCTCCGACTCTCTGCTGAGCTGCTACGTCAACTGATAAAACGATACAGAGAAAAGAAAGAAAAAAAAAAATTGCTGATATGAAGTGCTGGTGGTGAATGCCCTGCTGATATGAAGTGCTGGTGGTGAATGCCCAATGCCCATTTTAAATGAGAGAGACTCATTAAATGTGATGGTGACAACACAATGCCATGTGCACAAAGCCAGAGGGATGGAGAATGGAGACAACATACTGCTACGTCATTTCTTTTTCCCTTTCACTTTTTTTCCTTTCTATTTCGTAGTTTTGGTCCTCTTTCTTTCTTTCTTCTTTTTTTTCTCTTTTTTTTTTTTTGTTTTTGTCTTGCTGTTTCGTTTTTTCCTTTTTCTTTTGTTTCGTATTTTTTTTTACTTTCTTTTGTTTTGCAATGTTTTGATAACAACTAATATATTATAATATAATCTTATATTAGTAACAAGCTTCAAGCAGATGTTAAATAATAATAATAATGACACTAATAATAATAATATTATTATTATGTATACATGTATATGATACATTATAATATTATCACTTTACCGTCCTTAACAATTGGACCCCTGAGTACGAAAGAGAAGTCCGAAGAAATTTATGACCTACAATTGAAGCTCTTTTTACCCATGCTCAACAATAACTTGATGCCACACAAGCTGTCGTTCTTCCATTGTAATTTTGAATTTGTATTATCGCTTCACTTTAGTTTGTTCCTTTATTGGAATGTTAAAGCATACTTCTCTTGCATTTTAATATTCCTGAACATTAAAAGGAACCATGAAAACTACTCATAAACCTTCTCCTTGAAAGATTTAAATGAGATATGAACGTAGGAAATTCTGGACAGATTCGTGACTTCATTTCCTCTCGAATTTTGATCCTTCAAAAGTCATATTCAAGTTTAGATGTCTTCATGAAAATTGTAGCTCTGTATGTTAGCTTTCCAACGATACCCAGATCACCTCAATTGGACTATTATACACTAGTACAAAAAACACTTTCCGAGTCACCTGTAAAACACTTTCCGAGTCACCTGTACAGGTGACTCGGATTCCAGTGACACTGAAAGTGGGATACGGGTGTCTCGGAAAGCTGTCTAATGATTTTTTATTTTTTTTTATACAGACTTTCCGAGACACCTGCTACGTTGCAGGTGCCTCGGAAAGTCATTTATTTTTTAATATCCGCGACACCCACGATCACGTGGGTGTCGCGGAAACCATTTTCTTATTTTTTTAATAATTTCTTTCCGCGGCACCCTTTTCACTTAGGGTGTCGCGGATACCCCTTTATTTAAAAATAATAATAATAATAATAATAGTAATAATATATATATATATATATATATATATATATATAAGACCGCTCATATGCGGCGAGGTCTTACCGTGCGACGGTGCGGTCAAATTCCAGAATACACCAACAGTGTTAACGATATGCACCAACAGTGTAATAAAAACACACCACAATGAAATGCAATAAAACATCACAAAATACACAACAGACTCAAAAAAATACACCATATAACTCACCACCCCCAACGGTGTATTTCCGAACAGTGTATGGTGTTTTTACTCACACCTAATGGTGTGTGTTTGGTGATGCAGGGCTCTGTTTACTCTGTTTTGTGTGGTGTATTTTCCTAACGTTGATGGTGCATATTTGTTGAACTATTGGTGTTGCCGCACCGTAAGAAATAACCGCACCGTAAGACACTGCCGCACCTGAACCCGCCTCTATATATATATATATATATATATATATATAGACAACTAATTTTTTAAAAACAATAAATAAACTCCCAACTTTTATAGCACAAATACATAGAAATTATTCATAGCCAATGTCTCCTAGACTAATAAATTTATTAATAGAAAAAGAAGAGACAAAGAAGGTCAGGAGCCTCAATCTTGCTATCACCAAGTCTCCCGATGTTTTGACTCCTATAACGCCTATCTTTCATTGTATTGTCGTCGCATCCATCTGAGATAAGAGTAAAAAGTAAATTGCTAGCTAACAAGCAAATTGCAAACCAAGCAACTGTAGATGATCTACAATGCAACTATTCATTATTTTTAACTGCAATGAGACTATGTTCAACTTCAATGAAAATTTATTATATCACACAATAAGCCTAGACTCATACTGGTATTATTAATTTCATGAGAACAATATACACCTTTTTGCACTGTCTGATGAAAATTTACCTTCACATAGAAGAATACCAAACCAGATCAAGGTACCAATATCAAATAACAGGGAAAAAACATATGCACTCCTATCCAACTTTCAAGATTCACATGCAGACGCAATAGTGTTTAACACCATCAAATAAATAAGTCATAAAGTAAGGCAAACAGAGCTTACCCATAGGTCCTGTCCCAGTCTGTCAAAATAATATGCTATAGTCGACCTCTCCCTGGATTTCTTTAACAATCTATTGTTCACAATCTCTGTTACCATTCCATTCCAGATGTTGCAAATTCAAAAATATGCCAAGGACAATAAGTAAAATGAAATAGGTGCAGTTGCCACCAAAAGAAAGTAATTCAGTACTAACCTTTTCTTTGAAATTTATTGATTGTCGCCATTTTTTATGATCCATGTCCTCAACCAATGGCAACACAGGATCTTGGAGAACAGTGCACTGGTGGTTTGTGTTGATCGAGATTCTACTTGGATGGAGGAGCTCTGACTGAAATACTTGAGAGTTAATTTCTTCAATTTCACCTTCTTCTTCTGAACAACTGATGTAATGTCCACTCATTACATCTATCACAGAACCTTTAGCTGAGCAGAACTTACTGCAGTCTTTGTTCTCGATTGTTTCTTTTGAGTTCTCCTCCTATGAATAATGCATGCTGCTATCAATCTGAACTTGGAGTTCTTTTATGTCATCTTCATTGATGTGAACTTCATCTTCAGAATCATTATCAATACGGGGTAACATCAGCGAGCGGTTAAGACTCACTCACACTGGACTTTGATCAGTTCTTCCTGTGACCAACAAAAATTAGATATAACCACTCACTTCACCAATTATAAAAACAAAAAAATAGTCTTTCCTAAAAGAAAATGAAATTACCTTAAGTAGACGAATCTGATCACTCTGACCATTAACATCATCTTCAGTGATTTCATTGATCATTGGTTCATTCTTCATGGCAATTGTATACCTGCAGTAGTCAGTAAGCTACTTAGTACATATCTCAACACCATTTTAACAACAGCTATGTCCTAAGGTGTCAAGGTAATTTACCTCAAGGAATGAACAACGGCATTGGTAACTTATTTTTTTATCTTCAGAATTCTCATGCTCCTAAATAGTCAAACAGGAAAAAAAAAAGTCAGGAATGGCCTATTCCATACTTCCTTTGCATTTTAACATGACAAAAGAAAGGGCCAAAATGACAGACTTACTCTCTGAATGTTATCAAACAACATCTCGAAAATGCATGGAACAATGCCCTGAAGACCATTGGTTGATGGAGTCTCAACCATTGCACTGGGAGGTCCCCACAATGTGTATGTCTTTCCACTCCCAGTTTGGTAACAATTAGCCAAATGTAAGTACTGGTACTATATAGAAAGACCTAAGAATCGAGGACATAAAAAGATGAGGATAAAAATCAGCTTATCATACACTACCTGTCCATAAGCCAAGAGTGATGTGTTATAAACTGCCAATGCATCCTTAACCAAAGGGATCCCAACTGATATCTATCAAGCACCAATATCAGCAATGTAAAAGAATTGTCAACAAATCTGAAGGCAAAACAACTAAACATGTAGAATAAGAAGCAAAATTGTTGCTGAAGAATAGAACTTTTACAACTGAGTTTAAATGAGAAAATCTAGATATACTTACCATGGTGTCGTCCATAAATCACTGGAGAAAGCAACAGGATACCAAAAGTTCTTCAGATGGTCACTGCAATGTTTGAGAAAGCTAGTTCTTTGTCAGATTGTATAGAATGAAACTCCATTCCCTCTTTGATTTATGATATTCCCCATTTTGATTTAATGAATTAATCTTTCCACTTAAAAAATACTCCATAAAAATAAAAATAAAAATAGTGCTAAAATACTCCACAAAATACAAACTAAATTTTTTCTGAATTTGTAAACCCTAAAATCGTTTCACAGTGCTATATAAGCTTCGCATATTGGGGCTGCGGAAGTTCCAAGTTTCCAAGCCTCTCCTCCGTCTCCACCACCACTCCCGATCACATGGAATAATTTCCAGATCTCGACGGCGCAATGAAGGGCCATAGCGACTGGGTTATGCCCATTGCCACCCCAATCCGCAACCCGACGTAATGGTGACCTACTCCCAACTCGATGAAATAAAATTAAATATAAAATAAAAAAAAAATTAAACTTACCGGTCTCAGGGATAGGAATAGGCACCTCCAGGGTGGTGGCGGTCGCGTTTGGCGTCGGTACGTGGCGGTGGCGAGTGAGGCAGCTTCGGCGGAAGAAAGGCGGCTGAGGCTTCAGCGGTGGCGTCAGATGGAAGCTCAGGCGAGGAAGGTCGTCGGCGTCGGCGTCGGCGTCGGCTGTGGTTTCAGATCTGTTTGGAGAGGATAGGTGTAGGCTGTTCGCGAAGAAGGAGAGGAAATGGAGGCGTCGGCCATCGCAATGAAGGAGAGGAAATGGGTAGAGAACGAGAAGCTAAGTTTCAGATCTGGGGGTTATTATTATTATTATTATTATTATTATTATTATTATTATTATTATTATTATTATTATTATTATTATTATTATTATATTATATAATATAATAATAATATATATACGTGGCACCCGCACCAGATGGTGCCACGGAAAGGTATTATAATATTAATATATTTTCCGCGACACCTGCTCACATGGGTGACGCGGAAAGTAATATTCGCAACACCCCTTCTCGGCTGGTGTCGCGGATTCCCTTATTATTATTTTAATAATATAATTTTCGAGGCACCTTTACCCGGTTGGTGTCGCGGAAAGTTATACCTTTTTCTTTCCACAACACCTTCACCATGAAGGTGACTCGGAAAGTGGGCTTGTATTCCAATTTTTGTAGTAGTGATAGACCGAGAGATGACCAAAATACCGAATAGTGACCGATTGTTGCGTGAATGCATGCTTTGACCATTATTTTCCATTCCAAGACTTGCGATGCTTCCTAGACTTGTTCTCCTCCTTCCCATGCCAATAATTAACGCGTGCTTGAATAGACTCACTATCTTGGACGAAAGTATAAAAATTTTGTTATGACTGAACTTAGACAATAAAATTTCTAAGCTACCTACGTACTCCCACGAAGGAGATCAAGTCAAACGTAGTTCAAATGATTTTTTTTTTTAAAGTAGAGACGTTCACAGTTTAGACTCATGCGGGCCAGGAGCGTCTATGATTTGGGCCCACCCATAGACAAAGCGAGATGCATTAGTAGTTTAACCACATACTGCATTTTTGGTGGATATCATTCATCTTGTTTACTTAATTAATAGGGCCAACTTGTGCATCATTTTCATCAACCAAGTTGTACATGCCCCGCGCAACCGGGATCTCATCGTGTCAATTAATGTGGAATGAAGACGACACCTCATCTTGAGTTGGTGTCGTTCCATAACCTGAATCAAGATCTTCTTCTTTTCCTTCTTGCACACGGGTGTATATAATGGTCTTTGGCTAGACCTTCAAGACTTCACTGCATGAAACATGGACATCAACTTCTCGTCTCATACGAGAGGGAACTATACTTCTAAGCCTTTTTGAAGACTCTATTTCAATAGAAGTGTCGGTGTGTTCTTTTAAAACTCGAGAAGCTCCGAGTCTGTCATGTATGGACTTCCTCTTAGCAGGTTTGGGATTTGACCCGAGCCTATAAAAGGCTGCCCGTCGTGGTTCTACCTCGCCAATCCTATCAAAGACTGATTGCCTCTTGTGGTGTTTCTCCTCATCGGTAGACGTGATGCAATTACTTGCGGCTCTGTTTATGAAGATTCGCACTGGTTTAGGGAGCCCATAGCCTAATCCTTTACGCTCATGCGGTCCCTGCTGATTTGACTTGCCTTTACCGCCGGCTTCTGGGATAAGCTTCCCCAATTTCTGCGGCTCCTTGGGATTGTAGGCAGCTTTAGCTAGAAGTTTATAAGCATTGGGGTTGAAGCCATTAGTGCGCTTAACAGGCAACATTTCATCTACTCCATCCCGAGCATCGTTATCTTTGGTTTCTTCTCCAAGCGGTTTGGCTGGGAGAGCTTTCAATGGTTCAATTCTTGTAAGCAGAAAAACAAGTTCCTTATGGCAATGAGCTTGGTCTACGACCTGTTTGCCTTTCCATTTTGGATCAGGTGTGTCAACATCGCTTTGGTCAACCTCTTCTACAACTTGTTTCTTCAAGTAAAACTTTGCATCTGCAAAGTATGATTCTGCTTCGATGAAGGGAGTTTCATCAGCGGCTACCTTTTCTATCACCCCGCCTTTTTCAAACATGAGGCATTGGTGCCAGGATGAGGGAACTACTCCATTCTCATGTATCCAAGGCCGGCCCAGCAACAAGTTGTAAGATGTTCTTGCATCTATCACATAACATAGTGTACTTGAGTTTAGCGTTCCGACCCTGAGGTCGAGTCTTATGGTACCAAGTGCTCTTTGTCCGCCTTGATTAAATTCTTGAATCATTAAGCGGCTTTGAGAGAGCTCATCAGTGGAAATGTCAAGGTCCTTCATAGCCCGGAGTGACAGAATGTTCACAGCCGACCCTTGATCAATCAAAATCCTTTTAATCTTTTGCTCGCGGGCATAACCTTCAACAAACAACGGACGATTATGTGGTGTACTACCAAGCAATAGATCTTCATCTTTAAAAGTTATCTCGGCGGTATAAGACGCGGATTTGCGAGTTCGGACCTCGTTGCTTCCTTCAATCAAGGGGAATGAAGATTCTCCCACTTCAACATGTTCTTCATTGGTATTCAAGCAAGTTTCAAGAATGTCTGTTCTACTCAGGCGAAACCCCTTTGGCATGTATTGAGCTAGGGTAACTGGTGCCTGTGGCTTGTTGGGAAGTCCTTTCTTCTTCGAGTCATGGACGGGGTCCCTTGCCGACTTCTTCTAAACCCATTGCCTTGTCATTTTCTTTAATGGTCTAATATGACTAGCAGGATCAACTTGTGATGGTTTTAAATACTGGACACCAGCATGCTTAACTCTAAATGGAAGTGTGCATTTATGTTGCTTGCCCCCATTATTCTCCTCATCTTCTATGAGTAATGGAGCAAACCTCCCACATGAAATTTGGTTTGTGCTTGCGCTAGCATCCGCAAGCTCTATCTTTCCATCACGAGCAAGCCCCATCACTTTATCCTTAAAGACGAAGCATTTTTCAATCGGGTGTCCGAGGAGACGATGATACTTGCAATAGTTGAGGCCATCCACCCTAGAAGCTTCTTCGGGGCGCTTCATCTCAGGCAACTCAATTAATTTGAGTTTCAGCAACTCTTCAAACATAGGAGAAACGTCAGAATCCAAGAATGGATATTGTTTCTCCTGCCACTCTTCAACAATTGTTTTTCTAGCTCCCCTTGATGGGCCAGTGAATGATCTTTGCTTGGGCTTCTCAGCCACTTTGGTGAAAACCCGCATTGGTCCTATCATCACGTTCATCGTCTCTTTTTTCTCTTGCTTTGGAAAGAACTTACTCCATTTGTTGACGTCTTGGTTTGCAGGTGCCTTTGATGACCCGGGCATACTTGACATACTTAGTCCCCCATTAGCTTCAATACTCAATTCCATGTCATGAGCACGACTGGATAGTTCTTCAAATGTTCTAGGCTTGATTCCCTGCAAGATGTAAGAGAACTCAAAGTGCATGCCTTGGATGCACATTTCAATTGCGGAGCTTTGTGATATCCTCTCTTTACAGTTAAGGCACAACTCCCTCCATCTCTCGATGAAGGCTCCTGCACGTTCACCCTTCCATTGGTGGGTAGTGGTGAGCTCCAAGAAGCTGACAGTCCTTCTTGTGCTATAGAAGCGAGTCAAGAACTCGCGCTCCATATCATTCCAGCTATCAATGCAACCATGCTCCAGGTCGGTGTACCAATCAAAGGCAGTGCCCTTCAGAGAGCGGACGAACTGCTTGACAAGGAGATCTCCGTATGTTCCTGCATCATTACAGGTTTCAATGAAGTGGGCGATGTGCTGCCTTGGGTTGCCTTTTCCATCAAACTGCTGGAACTTGGGAGGTTGATAGCCCAGCGGCATCTTCATTTCTTCAATCCTCTGAGTATAGGGCTTAGTGTAAGTGTATGAAGATTGTCCTCCCTCGAGCTTCCCTTTAATTGCTCCCATGATGTAGTCGTTCAACTGGTCTACAGGTATCATGCCCTTAGAAATTGGAATACTCTGCTCAGCGGGTGGTGGACGAGAGATTGTCTCTTCCATTCCTGGCCTACTTTGATGACGCGGTGACTCGACATCAATCTCATCTTCTTGGGTTTGCGGCTGCTTCTCGGAAGCTCGACTTGTTTCGCCGTTTCTTCCGCTTTCAACTTCTTCGCTGAGCTCATTGATTCTCCTTTCTTGGTTATGCATGAACGTAGTTATCCCCTCAAGAGCTTTGGTGATGTTTGCTAGTTGTTCCTCCACCGAAGCTGCGTTCGTCGTCATAACGGGCATGACTGTGTAGTTGTGAGTCAATTCCGACGATGTTTTCTACAGAGGTGATGATTGAGATGTAGGAGACGAGCTACCGCTGCTAGGGGTTCCTTTTGGGGGAGTCATACTCTTGCTACTGGGAGTTCCTTTTGTGGTAGTAGGGCCCATATGACTCTTGTCGCCAACAGTTTCCCTCGTCGAAGATGAACCCTTGTCATATGCGGCTTTCCATGACTTGGTGGAGTTGCTTTCAATCCTTCGGACGATGTTACGAACCATGTTCTGGGTCTCGTTCAGTTGCACCCCAAGGTTCCTCACTCGGCTCCGAGTCATTGCTCCTTCCACATTTTGGCTATCACCGGAACCGGCCACGGATGATGCCTTGGAGCGGGTAGCTTGAGCATAGGTCATCTTGGAGGAGGGATTTCTTGATGCCATTTGGATTCCTTCCTTGTAGACCTCGTGAATCAATAGCGAAGAGATGAGAGGCAGAGTAGTCCCACTGGGCGTGCCAAAATCTGTAAACACAAAAAAAGTAAAGTTTGTATATATTCCACAAAATCTGTTTACAGCGTGTGTATAATTCAATGCAGGTACAAAATCTCTGTCTAGTTCTCTGATTCTTCACTGACGTTATCTATGGAAGTGCCTCCGGGATTCAAGTAGCGTAACCTCCGGGATACAATTGGCGCGTGCCTTCGGGATTCAATTGGCGCGTGCCTCCGAGATTCAAGTGGCGTAGCTTCCGGGATTTAAGTGGCATAACTTCCAACAACGAGCGTCAAGAATTTAGAAGTAATCAACCCTGCAAAGTTTCAAAACACATGCAATGGATTCAAGCTGCTTTAAGATCCTCAAATGCCTTCAAAAGACTTCAATATCTTCGAGACAATCAATTCTGCAAAGCTCCAAAGTACCTGCAATGGATTCAAATTGCCTGCAAAATCAACAAAAATGCCTTCAACTTCAAGCGTTCTTCAATGCCTTTAGGCTCTTCAAATGCTCTCAACTCCTTAAGTCTTC